TTATTGGTCATCTCATATACAAAAAGGTGGAAGTTCCTTAGAATTTGAAAGGTATCATCTCTTGCTGCTTGAGGAAGAATGTTCTGTTTGAGGGAGGTCTTCGGTATCAAAAAAAAAAATGAGCCGTACCGAGAGATGGTTTATACCTTATGGCAGGATGGGTTAAGGTCTGGTTCAATTTTGCACCTAAAACTAAGTTCGAGGTGATAATTCCTTTTAAGCCCGAGGGACCCATAATCTATTTGAAATCCTTCAGAATTAGAATCAAAATGGTCTATTCCCATAGTCTATTTGGTTCAGACAGGAATTTGAATGAAAATTAAAATCAGCTGGAATGAGATTTCATTCTTAAATAAGGAGGGAATGAACATTCCTTCAAATGGGGGAATGTCATTCTACCAAGAATGGGAATGAGATTCTGATTCTGCCCAACCAAACAATTGAAATCAAAATGATTTATTCCAATTCCGTCCAACCAAACAGTTGGAATCAAAATGGCCCATTCCGATTTCGATTCCAAACGTCTATTCCTGTGAACCAAACGGAACCTCCTAAGTTAGTTTATTAGAAAAGGTAGCCCACTAAGCGCACAGAATCAATTGCTGGGGTTTTAATTAGGCTTTTTAGTGCCTGTTTGAGGGGGCTTTCAGACAGCAACTTCCGGCATTGAATGAGCCATAAAACCCGAAAAATTATGAAGCCTCATTTGGCAAAAGACCAGAAAACCGAAAATAGTAGACTTTCTGGTGAAGCTATAATAGGTAGTAACTTATTAGAAGTGATTCAGTCAACATGGCTCAATCACTCGAGTCCGGATCTCCTGCCCACGTTTATCGCAGCCACACATAAAGAATATCTCATCCTCTGCATAGGATTATGTAAGGGGAGATGTTACTAATTCACAGGGGAATTCTAGTAGACAGGAGATCCGGAGTCCAATCTCACTGCATTAGCTTCCCAAACGGGCTCTTATTTCAAACCAAGAGATAGCTAACGTTGGGTGGATTACGCCGTTTAGGGATTCAAGCTTGTATTTAAAATTGGCAAAGGCCCATTTTGTGTTGTGTGATTTGGAGGCCCAAATTCCTAGCATTCCTTTAGAAAGTCCACAATATTAATAAATAACATGTTTTGAAGCTGGGCTTAGATGGAGACCATCAGTCCCACTCGCCACTCGATGTGGGCTGTTGGGAATTGGGATGATGATTCAAAATTTCAAATAAGCCTTCCTAAGAGGATCATGCTTTGCTTTGTTGAGGCATGGCTTTTAGTGAAGCTTTTTTCTGAGTCGGTTGTCTCTTAGAAAAAAGGGTCTGCACTCTGACCAGCTTTGGTGTCCGTGTGTGGAAATGAGAAATCCCCTTGTCTTTTTATTCTCTGTACAAGGGAGATGTTATCTTGTAAGATTCCTTCGGTTCAGAAAGCCTTAGTGCATGTAGACATAGTAAGTACCTCTATTCACAGAGACTGAGACGTCTGTCTATTGCTGGAGATCAACCTCTTTTGGATAGGGCATGAAACCCTGTAGAGGATCCAGCTAAATCCAGATTCTGATACAAATATGGGTCCTGATTGTATCTCTTAAACGTAGAATTATAGATCCGTATACCCAACCCATTTACGCATTTTAGTTGGGTTCCGGGTCATAACCTAAACACATTAGGCATGTTAGAATGGACAGTAACATTTGAAATTATTAAAATTCCCTGAACCCAAGTCTCAATATTTATCATTTTTGTGACCATTGATACCGATACTGATATGATACACATAACACGCTGCAGGCGGTTCTAGAAGTGTCAATTGGACGGATTTGGTCTAATCCGATCCAGTCCAATGTGAGTCTATTTATAAATGGACTGGACTCAATCTAGTCCAAATCCAATACAAATCAAATCTAATCCAATCCATTAAAATGTAAATGGATTAGATTGGATCTAATCCAAACCGAATGAAATATCAAAAATTATATAAAAGAACTTTTAGCATTGAAAAAGCACTTTTGTAAAAGTATTTTGATAAAAATATTTTCATAAAAGTGCTTTTACAAAAGTACTTCGAAAAACTGTAAAAACACTTTTCAAAAAGTACTTCCATAGACTTTTATAAAAAGTACTTACATAGAAGTGCTTTTGTAAAAGTACTTTTATAAAAGTGCTTTCATAAAAGTATTTTCGTAGAAGTGTTTATAAAAGTGCTTTCATAAAAGTACTTTTGTAAAAGTTCTTTCATAAAAGTGATTTTCTAAAAGTGCTTTTATAGAAGTACTATAAAAGTGCTTTCGTGTAAAAGTAATTTTATAAAAGTGCTTTCATAATAGTACTTTTGTAAAAGTGCTTTCGTAAAAGTACTTTTGTGAAAGTGTTTTTATTAAAGTGATTTTGTAAAAGTGCTTTAATAAAACTACTGTAAAAGTGCTTTTATGAAAGCACTTTTGTAAAAGTAATTTTATGCTATTTTCAGTTTTGCTTGATTTCAAATTGGAGAAGGGTTTGGCCTCATGATCGGATTATTGGAAATTTGGTTTAAGTTTAATTCAAATCAATAAGAATATGGACCAATTTATTATGGAATGACCCAATCCAATAATTATAATGGACCATCCAAATCCGATTTGATAAGGTTTGGATCAGATTGGATCCAAACCAAAACCGGTCGATTGACACCCCTAGCAGGCACGTTCATTGGAAACATTCGATGTTTCCAATACATGACAGTAGTGTCTTGTGGGTAGGGATGTGGAGAAAAATTGAGGATAAGAGTTCGAGAGTGCATTGTACAGGACTTGTATAGGGTTGTTTGTAGCAGATCTTGAGTGGAGTCTATTACTAAGGTGGTGTTTGATTCATGGTTCTAAAACTAAAAAATAATTGTATGTAGACTTGTTCATAGGCTAAGCTCGAATTTGACTTTTACCAAAATTAATAGGCCCAGCCCAAACACAATATTCGCTGAAAAGCCAGGACCGAAGCCTGGCCCATAAACAGGTCTAGTTGTATGGTTCAAAAACTGTACCCAATTTTTAGAAAATGATGAGGCATTTTTCTACCGGATAATACAAGGGAAGCTGTTCTTTTCATGGTTAATTCTTTTTTAGGTTTTAAACATAGCATAAGTATCACTGCCACTTCACGTCCCTGTTGGCAGCAACAAGTTGCAGCTCCAGGAAATGCCAAATTTGGTGTTGTTCAAGCCATGCCTCCCCAATTTCCAAGGTGTGGCTTGGAGCACTGTTTTCTATGAAAAAACGGTTCCAAACAAATGCCTGTTTCCTGGAGAACCGTTTTTTCCGACGTAGCGCTGATGTGGCACTATTTCCTAAAGCAACGACAACGATGCCAAACAGCCGCCTAGTTAAAAGAAATCTATGATTGAAACTTTATTGGAACCCGTGCTTGTTTCCATATTGATGATTAATTGGCATGTTCAAGTAGGGATTATAAAAAAAAAAAAAAAAACAGAAAATGCATAGCATAAATATTAGATTACACAAAAAATATATGTAGCATAAATACAATAAGGAAAATTCTGTGCAATGTTTGGTTTGAGAAAAACATATATAATGAAAAATGTTATTAAATATGCATTGGAAAATGTATTTTCTGTCATTTGTCAATGCGTAAATATAATGTAGGAAAAAGTGAACCAAAGTACAAATTTATCCTGAATCGGGATCTATACTTCATTTGCATCGTTTCCAATGCAGCCTTATAATTTAAAAAGGCCTAGATGGTTTTTTTTTCTCTTAAAAATGGGGTTTTGATGGTTCTAGAACCCAATAATGTAGGATTTCTCATCGTGATGTAATGCCATAGACAGGGTGGAGATGGTCGGACCTCCGAAGGTCTAGGGACTGGCATTTGTTAGAGAGAGAGAGAATCACCCCTATATTGAAGAGTCAATCCTATTTTTGTTTTTCCTTAAATGGGAGATTCTTCTGAAACTTTTTATTGACTATGCCACATCAGCACAAGTGGCTAGCTGTCAGCCTCTAATCCTTATGCCTAATTCAAAACTGGTTTGATTTGTCATTTTGTGACCTAGTTTGGATGGAACTGGCTTGGTTTTGGTTCAAGACTGATTGAACTGGGTCTATGGCTTTTTATATATCTATATATTCTTACACCAAGAATCAGCTGAAACAAGAAAAACAAGGATTAATCATCCTAAGAGTATGGATGGAGGAAATGCTATAACTTTATGTAATTGCAAAATATTATATTGAGACTGGATATGGTTTTGGTTTTTTTTGAGTTTTGATTAATTCAGTTTGGTTAATTCGGTCTTTAAGTAACTTGATTTCGGTTTCAATTTTTAGAATTAGAAATTCGATTACTTGGATAAATCAAATTAATCAAACTTTGATATATAATATGTAATATATAATATATAATATATTATATTATTTATATATTAATATATAATATAATAAAATTTGCGTTCATAATATATATTGTATGTTATAATATATGTAATATAGTATATATATTATTAAAATTTGGCTTTAACCGAAATAATCAAAAATCAAACCAAAATTTTCGATTTTGATTATTTCAATTTTTTTATAATTCGATTTCGGTTTAATTTTCATTTTTTAGTTAAATTTTAAAAAATTCGGGACCCCCGGCCCCCCGGGATGACATGATTTTCCTGAGCCTGAAAACAGGTTACTCAGGGTTGCTCTATAGATACCAACTTCACCTATGCAATAATGTCATGTCAGTAATTGTCACTCAATGTTTTGAAAACAAAACCAAACCAAACATGAACTTGGAAGGTCTGATCCGATTTAAAAAATCATATAGTTTAAGGGTTTAACTGGTGATCAAGACAATATTTGGCAGGATTCATGATCATAAGTGTCGTCGTTATACTCCTGGAACAACAGAAGCATTCCGTTTGAACATTACAGAACTCTCAAACCATTCTCTTGACCCGGAGACTGCTTATCCCAGCATTATTAGTTCAGAAACTCTTTAATTTCACAATTGCAACTTAATTATCAGAGTACGCATCTGATTTGCATAGTGCATACAACGCTAATTCGTTAATCGTTCGTTATACGCTTATGTATTATTTTCCTATCTGGACACTGGTCAAGTTGAAATTTTGGGTCAAAAACAAGTTGCCGCCTTTACTCGTCGATCCAAACACGCTTTGCCTACAAACCAACAAGCATTTCAAGGTCGACATTTAAGTTCCAAGTTCATGCCGCAGACCTTAACCTGACCGAGGACCCACCATTTTCGTGCACAACCTTCTCTACAATTTTATCACCCCTTTAGGCAGTATCTGTATTTGGGTTGTTAGAAAATAAGAGACAAACAGAAACTTGGAAAGTTGTTAGAATTTCACAAAATTTGTTAGCAACTATCCCTCAACTTTCTGCTTCTCTCTTGTTTTTTGTCAAGCCAAGCAAGCATACCCTTAATGCAGCTTTGTTCTTGGAAAAAGCAAGGCTATTTGTATTTGGGTCAGTGCTCACACTGCTAGATGGCGCATGCTATCATCAGAACAACCTTCATTTTGCCGACGTTTATATCCAATTTTCGGTTAGAGAGAGAGCTTATAGTCTGCGCCAGGGATTCAGACACATAAGAAACGGGGTAGAGCCGACTAGGCATAAAGCCCAGGAGGATGGCTGGGAAACCGACCACTGGAATGAGAGAGTCATGTGAAAATTAAAGAGCATTAGCAAAAACACAGGAGTCAGTACAAAAGGGATAGATGATATCAGTTATGAAGGAGCAATATAGAGAGGTTAAAGAGTTTGTAATATGCAATTGGCTTTTCAACAACCCAATGCGCACTATTAGAATAGTTATCCAATTGTTATTCCCATTCAAATATGCCACATCCAAGGGGATCATCAAAATCTAGGGTCTGGATTGAGTAGCAGTGGCTCCTCTTCAGCAGGGTCCACAGGAAAAAAAAAAAAAAAAATCCCTGCAGCAAGTGTATCAAGTGGGTATTCAAGTATCCATATGAAAAATAGGGTGGTTTAGTACTAACCAAATACCCTTCACAGAGTGCTTATCAATTCATGCTCGCTGCTGTAGGAATTTTCCTAAGACCTCATCATTGGAGGATCAGCTCTTGGTCTATGTGACATGAAATGGTGCTGTGCTGATCTGGTAGTCCTGCACCATATCTGTAATTTGCAGGTCATTACATCATTTAATTATAGAACCTTTTATATGTAAAAGTAAAACTAAATGACAAGTATAACATTCCTCAAATTGGCAAATCTCAGAACTCAAAGTTAACAGAAACATTATATCTTTACCCAATTCAGGAATCTCATTGCTTTCAGGTTATAAGCGGGGATCATGTTACTATTGACTTCCCCTGTAATCTGTAATATGCAATACCAAAAAAGAAGTTACTTTTGACTTTTATCCCGAACCAAAACCAATTTACCTTCCAAGAATCCAAGCTACTGAAGATGTTCTTCATTTTTGTCTTTTTTCTAAAATGAAGAAGCTAGAACTACTTCTTTCAGGTCGAAAAGACTTGAAAAACAAGATGCTAAGACTAAAATGCGCAAAAGTACTCCATGAAATTGATGGAAATTAAAGTTCAATCAGATTCTAGATACCAAATCCATGAACAAGAGATGGAAAGAAGAAGTTATCTTTCATGCAAGCATGTTTAAGGACTTGAGCATCAAGTAGAATGAATGAAAGATTCTTAAAATCCACTTATGAATAGGAACCTGCATTCTGTTTCAATTGATTTGTCATGATGTGTATGCATTTGTGTCTAATTAATAAAAATTGAAGAGGAGGTGCAGAGCAGGTGACTGTAAAGAAAATCAGTAATTATCAATTACCCATGACAATGTCATGCATCAAACCTCCATAGAAGTCTAAATCACACTGAAGCTCACGGCTTTGGATAGAATTGTCAAACTGATCACTTGCAAACTACAGTAGGTGTGGGTTCAACAGTCAGAGAGGCTCAAGTTGCCCCAACTGAGAGTAGGATTTTGGCGTGGATCAACTATTTGTTTTCTATGAAGATATGGTCACCGACTCACCAGGTTTAATGAAAGAAAGCCCACAAACAGCAACGGGGACCATTTCTACCTTATTATTTCAACTTTTCTTCAAAAATAAAATTAAAAAAAAAAATAAACCTCGGTCAATTAAAAGGAACAATTATATGCTCCAATTGCATTGTGGTCAAATCTTGGGTCTACAGCTGCGAGAACAGTGATTCCTAAATAAGCAAATCAACTCTCATGTAAATGCAGGAGAACATAAAGAACCGAGAAAAATCTAAAATTGTATGACAATAGGATGCCTCTGAAAGTTTGAAGGCAAATTCATTTACTCTTGCTTTTCTATTCCTTATAGTAAGAAAAAATAATAGGATGGACATATTACATGCATGAACATTACAGTGCATTCAGAGGATAAAGCTCAAAGCCAAGAATATTCTTTTCTTGTCTCTTGTAGGAGCCACATTTATGCCAAGCATTCTCATAATTAGAAGAAAAAAGGAATAAATGAAGACAATAAATGAAATTAGCATCTAAAAATAAGTGGGTTTGCACAACAGATCACCAGGAAATTAAACATCTTCTTGTCAAATTCCAATGTACAGATGGATGAGGTCAAAATGCACCAGAGTCAGCGAACCGAAACCTTGTAACTTCTCAAAACTATCCTGGCGTTAATCTCTACATCTGCAGAAATCAAGATTAACAGTATTAGCTTAGCATGCAGAAGAATTGAATAACGTGAAACCTTCATCAAAAATAAAGGGAAAGTGGGGAGATAAAAAAAAAAAAGAAATTCTCAATGAAGGGGGAAGAAAAGAAATAAAATAAACGAATCTCCGAAGACCCTAAAAGAAAAAGAAGAAAAAACGAGCAAAATGAACAGAGATGCATACTATTTACCTTTCCGGGTTCGGGAAAATCAGGAACCTTGTACGTATCAGGCGTTATTTCCGTCAACCATAAACCAGGCAAAGTTGCCTGCAAAGTTTACCAACTGGGCGTTAGAACTCATTTTATATGAAATATAAAAAGCACAAAGATTTGATATTCTTTTCGTACATGAAACATGAGAATAGAGAAATAGAAGCATTTGAAGCAAAGACAAAATCCATGAAAGAAGAAAAGAAGGCAAATTTATTACATCAAGTAGCTTTTGAATGTTCCTAGCCCTCTTCTTTGGCCTTCGATGCGGTCTTGTCCCAGTTATTCCTACAAAGTCCTCCTCTATCTCTTCCCTAGAAAGGGAGATCGAGAACTTTTCGCGCTCCTTCTTCTCCACACACTGGGTAGAAGCTAAACCTCTCGACCGAAGCGATTTCATCGTTGAATTCTCAGCTCGCGTGGGAGAAGAATTCTGTTGCTTCTCTTCATTTTTCAAGACACCTCCAGTTTCATTTGGAGCCTTACAAGCATCTCTTCGTGTTCTAAGATTCCACGGCCTAGCCGCCGCCGCCGACGACGATGGTTCATCTTCTTCTGCATCATCCTTAGCCGTCAAATCCTTCTTATGTGCAACCTCAAGGAGATGAAAATCGATGTTTATCCTGAGTGCTTCAATTCTGTCTTCTCCACCCCTCTCCATCTTAGACATCCCTCCAGAAACTCCAATCGGCGGCAACTGCCATTTCATAAAGCTCCCGGAGCCTTTGGAGTATCCGCGCTTCAGTGATTCGCGTTGCTTCTTTTCGTCGACAAAACGTTCCACTTCGACGTCAGAAGCCGGGGATCTGCGACCGAGAGAAGGGGTTTCTCCATCTGGAATCACTCTGACACATCTAAGACGCCTTTGTTTCCCCCATTTCAAGTAAGGCAACGAGAAATTGTGCAAGGGCCTGGAGTTTTCACGAGCCATGAACGTGAACTCCTGCGACCTCTCTCCTTCTGAAACTCTCGAAGTCACCATTGGTTAGGTGGGACGAGTCGCGCGGGGGGGAGCTGAGACCGAAGCTCTTGTCTCTTTCGTTCCTCCAATTATTGTCGACCGATTGATTTCAGAGATCTTCCGCCAAAAACTTGCGAGAGATATGAAGAGAAAATCCCTCCAGTTCGACTCGAGAGGGTTTTCAGAGACGAGAAGAAGGAAAAGGAATGAATATTTCTTTTTGTTTCTAAAATCGCCGGGAAATATATACATGAGAGAGAGAGAGAGAGAGCGGCTTTAACGTTCGGGCATGCTTTGGTTTTAGTTGATCCTTTGAATACTTCATGAGACTGTATTCTAAAAGACGCAGGAGTGCGCGTTACACACACCTAACCTAAATTCTTGAATTCTTGGGCTTTGGTAGTCGTTGTGCAGTGGCCCATTTAAGATCCAAGCATTACGCACGGGTACTAGGGTGAGAAAGCATGAAAGGGAATCATGAATTCATGATCCACCGTTGCTTGGGAACGACCCAACATAATGGGCATTATAAAACTCATGAGGGTATTATGCGTCCGTCCGAGAATCAAGGCCTTCTGTCTTCACTCAAGGACATGGCGCGAAGTACCCGTTGGCGAATAGATAGCCGAATGGCCATTTGATTTGAAATGTGGAGCCACTGCTGCGTTATTGCAACTTTTGGTCTCTTGGTGGACCCATAGGATGCATAAAACATATGGCACTGGCCTCACGCTACAGACTTTTTTTTTTCGTTGATGACCACCCCGTACTGAGTACGGTGCAACCATTCAAGGTAATGCTGCACTTGGGTTCGAAAAAGTTGGATTGGGTAGGGTTGATCCTCGGGTTAGGGTTAGGGTTAGGGTTGAAATTCATGAACCCAGTTTTACTTCGGGTTGCGTTATGGTTGACCTTTTAGATAATTCAATCAAATCTAAGCCCCACTCTATAGTATATGTCATATGTAATATATACCATAAATTTATTTGTTTAGATACATAATATTTGTATAGCCCCCACGACATAGTATCATGTATTTCTTTTAAGATAATTACTTCACTTAATCCTAATCAGAAAGACTAAAACCTTAATAACATTATTTTATGTTTTTTTTTATTTTATTCTTCATCTCCTCTCTATTGTTTGTCACCCATAAAAGATCTATCGTAAATCATAACTCATAATAAACTATGGTCATTTCTAACACTTGTTTTTCAAAATTTTGTACCAAAAGAACAAACAAATAATAATGAAACATAGGATTAATATATGTAGTGAAAGTTGAGTTAAGATCTAAAATTGAGAAATTCTATGAGATTTTAAGGGATGGGAAGAAGGTTGGGTTGGGCCCAACTCGAAATTGACTTAGGGTTGGGTTAGGGTTGAAGGAATTTAGTTAGGGTTAGGGTTAGGGTTAGGATTGGGTTGGTCGGGTTGGGTTAGGTTAGGGTTGGGCTAGGTTGGCCTCAACCTAACCTAACCCGGCCCGACTTGCAGCCCTATTCCAAGGTGTTTCATTTGGAAATTGGGATTCCATCCAAGTAGGCCGCTAGTGTTGATCCGGTTACAGTCTCGGTTTTGATCAATTTCTAACTCGCTATACTAAAACTGTTAGCAGTATAGTTGAGCCATTGACTCAGGGCCTATTTGACGTGTCTTTTCACGAAGGTTGTTGGCTTTTTAGAAGCACGACAGTTCACATTTTTTAGTCTTTCTCTATTTGGTTGAGGGAAGATCTTTTCGTCAAAAGATTGTAGCCAAAAAGATGCAAGAAGTTCAATTTGAACTCGTTTCGAAAAGATATAAATGGAGTTTTTTTGTCTTTTTTCGCTTTTTCAAGCCTTGTCTTCATGTGGAAAGACGCACCTCCAACCAAGCGTTATGTGGGCTGCCAAAATCTTTATGTAAAAACTCATTACATCTTTTGGTTGTCAAATCTTCCAAAAGATCTTTCAAAAAAAAAACTTGCCAAATGGCACACACACAAACTAGTAAATGAGCATGTGGTAATTCTAGATGATGATAAAGATAGTAATAATGTATCCGATTTTTTAATAAATATTATGTATTTTTATTTTTTGTTTTTATTTTTATTTATTTTTTGGTTTTTATTATTAACCGGATGCGGATTGAAAACCTAAATCTGATTACATGAACACCTCATCCAAATACGTGATAATCGGATCGAGTTGTGAAGTTTCAAATGTCATATCTAGGCATACTTGCTTGACTAGATTCTTTTTTTTGTAAGATTTAAGCCACGTTTGGCAAGTCTGTTCGTGCAAGCTTTCGGCTGTTTAGAAGCCCAAAAGCTCGATTTTCACGCTCTTCCCATTTGATAAATGATAGATCTATTTGTAAAAAGACGCCAAAAGCCCGAATTTGGGCTTTTTCGGGAAGCTTCACTTCCGCAATCTTCTGTCTTCTTCGAACGCGTGCCACAACGCACATGCTTGTGAAAAAATACCAATCCTTCGATAAAGACTCTTAGATGTTTCGAGCCCTAGCTCTCAGCTCCGCCATTGTCGACCTACGTAATATTCTCTTCTTCTTCTTTAAGTGTCTTTTTGCTCTTTTTCTTCTTCATGTGGTCTAATCTTTCTCTCCTTTTTGTAGGTATACCATCAGGGTAACTTGCAACAATCGGAGGTTTGAAAACTTGCTAACAAGATAGGTACAACCCCATTTCCCTTCTTTGTTTGGAATTTCTTCTTCGTCTCCTAATGTTGTTGTTATAGTATAAACCCTTCTTCATCTGGAACCCCTTAAGCCAACCTACGACTTTGAGTCCTACCAAAACCATTTCCCTACTATCCTCCCTAATTTTCACCAAAACTGTTTCTCTCTGGTTTTCACTGCGGCTCCCTGATTTTTAACAAATTTTGATCATTCTCATTGTTGTCTAGTGTCTACCTGTGTAAGTCCCTTCCTTATTAGCACTCTCTTTGAAAAGTATAAGCTTTTCCAGTGAAGAAAGTCGATATTGTTTTGCCACTTCTGACCGTTGTTCTATGACGTGTCCTCCTTAGTACGACTTGATCTAAGCGAATGAGACACAATGGGACACCTTCCTTCTAAACCTTTTACTCTTTATTGAGAGTTAATTGCTAGCTCGGCCTCTTCTTCTCTGTCCTGTCTTACCATTAACTCTCAGTGGAACGTCCCAACCCCCTTAATGTAGCTCCCATGGACGTCACACCATCCTCATCCTAAATATCTGCTCTAGACATTATATATCCATGTGTAGGCCATGACATCCTCCTATAAATAATATTAGGGTGGTCTGAGATCGATGTTTGTGATTTGTGTGATTAGAGTCGGTGACAAGACCCACCTCTCACCTCTCTGTTTTGGAGTTTACACTCGTTATCAGTTTTTTAACACTTATAGATTACAATGCTACTATGCAAAGCTTTAGCTGTGTAGGATCATATTGAGTTTTTGCCTTTGATTCTCTGTACATTTGTCTCAGAGTACAATCATTTTGAATTTAGATTATAAATAGATAAAAAAAAATATCCAATGCATCTATATATCTATGACCTACCACACATTAGTCCAAAGCAACAAAAAGAAACATAGTTCCACTATAATTGAATTAATGTGATTTAATCTTGCTGACTAACTACCGGTTGTGATTGGAAGTTGGACTGCCTTGCCTAGCCAATAATTCATTTTGGGTGGAGAGTTGTCATTGTTCATAAGCCCTAGATTTCATGCATCATGTCACATTCAATGGGGATTATGAAATATCTTTGACCTATGTAATGGAGTGAATAATAGTTATCACCTAACTGTTTCCTAATGTGCTTATATGCTATCCGCAATATGGATTCCTTGCTCACTTACTGTATCCCCAACAAGTTTTGCCAGATGTATACTGATTTTTCTTCTTTTTTCTTTAATTTCTTTGGGCTATGATGCTTCGGAATCCATACTTGAACTCTAACGTCTGAGTAAAGCAATCAATAATTTTTTATGCAAAGGCACAATATGGAAGCTTAGTTTATTGATCTGGGTGCATCAGAATCATTTCTATTTATTGATTTGGTTGGTTCCAATCTATAAAGATTGGGTGAAACAAATTTTGGCTACTTGGTTCCAATCTATAAAGATTGGGTGAAACAGATTTTGCTCCATCAGAATCATTTATATTGCTAGTTGGTTCCAAGCTATAAAGATTGGTATTTGAACATGTGAGACATAAGTATTTGTAAAAAGCATGCATACACTGACCCTCTAGAAGTACACACTCATCCAATCTAATTCAATTATGGCCTAAAAAGCATGCTACTTAATCAAATTGACCTCAAACTCAAACTAGACCGAGTTGCACATCTCTCTAGAGCTTTCATTGTTATTCAAGGCTATAAATGGGTTGGATCCAGATCAAATATATGTAGATTTGAATTCATGTTAGCAATAGTATATGAATTTGAATGAAATATTATCCATCAGAATTAATTTGGATATTATGTATTATCAATAAATTTCATTAAGAATAGTTTTTAATGAGGCTTGACATAGTAGACACCAATGATGATTTCAGTGTAAATTATTATTTATTTATTTTTTCAGTTTTTGCTTTATTTTATTTATTTGCATTGTAGAAAAAAAAATAAAACCTGAAGCTAATTAAGGGAGTGTTCCAATGAATAGTTTTGATCAACAATGCAATCCACATAGAGTTGTGAAGGACCTGCTTACATGTATCATATGCTTCTCCACCTGTTTACATATATCATATACTTCTCCACTATTAAATTGTTTTGTTTCATCATAAACTTCATGTTGTAGATTTGATGTAAAAAGACCTGTTTACATATAGCTTCTATTTTTTTAATGTATTTTTCTAAGGTGGTGAACTTGGTTGCTTGGGGGTTGTACCAGCAAGTTTGCTGAAACTAACAAACTTTGTTTTCATTTTTTGTACAGCTTTATATTACAGCCATTTGCATATTTTTTGGGTTCATCTACCACAAGTAACACCTATCACTGCAAGTAATTCCATACTTGTGTTATTTGCTTATTCAACACAAAATTTAAGATGATTCTAGCACTTCGATAGTAAATAATGATCTGATTATTATATAGATGGCAAATAGTGTAGTCAATACCATAACATTTGACGATGCACCCATTATTAATGCAAAATGGACTCTTGCGCAAGAAAATATTTTCATAGATTTACTAGTACTTCAAGTACAGAGTGGGGGAATGGTTTCTGGGTGTCTGAAACCAAATGGTTGGAAGGATGTTCGACAAAGTTTTTTTGCACAAGTTGGGTTGAA